TTATCTTATGATATAATATAAAAGTTAGAAATTAACTTATATAATAGAGTCGATCCACTGAAGGTTTGATTAGTATGGGATCATATCCCAAAGTGGTTGTTCTCATGTGAATGGTCTGTTTAGTCCTTACTTTATTAAATTGGGCCGGAGTTTGTTCTGATCGAAATTAAAGAAGTAAGATAAGAGTGGGAATTTGGGCCCAAAATGTTTTTATTGCTTTTGTCATAGGATTTCTTACGAAAATATATACTCCCTCTGTCCCAATTTATATGGCTTACTTTCCTTTTTAGTCAGTCCCAAAAAGAATGACACATTTCTATTTTAAGTAACAATTTGCCTATAAAATGTCTTTTTTACCCTTAATGAAATGATTTACAACCACACAAATTTCTATCATTCATTTTGGACCACAAGTTTTAAAAGTCTTTTCATTTTTCTTAAAGTTTGTGCCAAATCAAAGTACATTATATAAAATGGGACGGAGGGAGTAACTCAAAAGAATAATTTTTATTTGCGGTGACAAATCAGTTTTTGCACGAATTATCCCTATTTTTGAATATTATAATTTATGTCCATGCTTTTCAAAAGCTTTTTTTTTTTTTTATTAAAAAAACTCCGTATATATTTAAATGGTATCACAAAAATAAAGACGAGAGAGAAATAATTTTGAATGGTCCTTTTTGCTATACTAGTCCCCTACTTCCTTTAAAGCGTAGAGGTACGTTTGTTTGTCTTTGCACACCAAATATTTGGTACAAGTCATAGTCAAGTTTTTAATAGAATGGTTCATTTATAAATGTTTCTAAAAGTAGTATATTGTTAATACCGATGTACATTAAAAATTATCTATAAATGGATGAGATTTTGTGAGATAATTAACTTTTTTTTTAATACTAGAAATAATTCTGAGGAAAGCTAAAACATAATTAATTGCAAAAAAAAAACATTAACGTCAGTACACATATATTCCACTTTATTCAGCATACTATATCTTAGAGAGCTGATAAATTACATGATTCATCACTTATCTAGACATATTTATAAAATGAAATTCACAATATTGTTTTATTTTTTTTGACAAAAAATTATAGAATTTATAGAACTAGAAGCAACCAAACAAAATTTAGTTAGGGTCAAATATGAAGTTTCAAGAATTTTTCTTTTCATTAGAAAAGAGTAAAAGAGATAAAGAATGAATAATCACTTTTATTCACTTGTTTACTTTCACAATACTTTTATCTTTTCCCATTTCATTCTTTAAAAGTGAAGAATAGGCTTCTTCAACAACTGAATAGTGTTGCCAGTATAGATATATCATTAGATAAAAAGAGATTATATAACTAAAACATAATTTGAAATCAGAGTAAAGAATCAATCAATTAGAAAAATCTAATTTTAGTAATATTTTTAAATAAACATAGTACTTTAGCTTATTCAATCTTTTGATATCCTTACAAGCCCACCTAAGAATAGGGTTGGGCGTTTAAGCAGTTGGAATTGAATATGAAAAATTTCGATTACAATTTATGAAATTAAAATTCAAATAAGTTTTGATACCTTTATACACCACATTTAAGCATTGTCTTATTCCAAATTCTTTAAATAGGTTTAGCTACATGCATGGAATTAAGCATAACAATCATACAACAAAAATCTATTTTTCAAGAAAATATGGATTCTAAAAACATCAAACTTCCAAAAATAGACTTTTCTCAGGAAGACCTAAAGCCACACACTTGTATGGAATCAAGTGAAAAGCCAAGTCCACAAAGCACTAGTAGAATATGGTTGTTTTGAAGCTTCCTTTGATAAAATTCCAATACATCTTAGAAAATCCATTTTTGAATCCTCACAAGAGCTTTTTGATCTCCCTTCACAAACCAAACTTAAGCATTAGAACTAGGGACGACTCAACGTAATCGGAGGCCTAAAGCGAAATCTTAATTAGAGGCCTAAAATCTAAATAAACTAATAATATTTCTTTTATATATAAATGATTTATTTGATTTCTTTTTCAATTATTAGTTTTAAATAAGATTTTATTAATTCAACGTTGAAAAATATTATTTTACTCGGGCAATCATTATATGAATTGTTAACATAGTTCTACAAGTAATAAGTTGACAAATTTCAAATAAATATAAGAGTTAGAACCATAGCTTTGATGAAGTTGATAATTTGGTTACCCCACATTTTACTATGGTTGTTGTAATGCTTGAAAATCTAAGAAGAAATGGAAAAAGAATTTACAATTCAATTTGTTCAACACTTTTTGACTATTAATTGATATTTTTGACAGAATATTACTCTAACTTATCAACAATTTAAAGAAGAGAGTGTAAAAGGAGTTAAAAAGAAAATAATGTGAATATTAGTAGAGAGAGTGTAAGAATATATATATATATATATATATATATACTTTTAATCATAAATAATTAATGTTTTTCTTTAAAAAATTAACACATAATTTATTCTTGGTAAAAAATTGAGGCCTCCTAAAATTGGAGGCCTAATGCCTTATTTTTGTATACATAGAGCCGGCCCTGATTAGAACCAAAGCCTTCAATGGCTATGTTGGATTCTACCACCCTTCAATTCCACTATATGAAAGCATGGGCATTGATGATGCTAACATCCCACATAAAGCTGAAAAATTCACTCAAATTCTATGGCCTCAAGGAAATACTTCTTTCTGGTAAAACATTAATCTTCACCATTTATTCTGTAGGTCATTTTTAGTCTGTTTAAAAAAGAATGACCCCTTTTCTTTTTGGTAACATTTTAATTTCAATTTTCCACGTAGCATGTTTCAGACCACCAGATTAAAGGGCTTTTTTGTACATTTGACACCAAACGGTAAGAAAAATGATTTTGGAGAGTTTAGGGATGGAAAATTTCATGGATGAGCATATGAATTCGACTAACTATCTTCTTCGATTGATGAAGTATAAAACACCTCAAAGCAGTGAGAATGAAATGGGACTAAGTTCTCACACAGACAAGAGCAATATTACCATACTAAACCAAAATCAAGTGAATGGTCTTCAAGTTTTGACCAAAGATGGACAGTGGATCAATGTTGACCCTACACCAGACACATTTATTGTCTTAATTGGAGACTCACTACATGTAAGCTCTTCCAACTCATTAAAATAAAAATTGTTGTAAAGCTAAAAATTTGATCAAGGATATTCAAGATATATATATATATATATATATATATAATATATATATATATATGCAGTATAATTCTCTATATACACTTTATAATTTGCTTCGCCACTAAATATAAAATAAATAAATTATGATATGCACTTATTTTAATTAGTTATGATAGCTAACACGTCTTATTCTTTAGGTTACTAATTAATATCATTTTATTATGAGCGATTATCTATAACTATTGTTTTAGATGACTTGACTTGTGATTTTTTTTATATTGTCAGTGTATAGAAGTTTAAATGTACTTAGCTTTCTATCTTTCAAATTCTTAGGTTTATTTTTTTTAATATATGAAGGATTGTTTTTGTATGTAGGCATGGACAAATGGTCGAATCCATGCACCATTTCATAGAGTGATGATGAAAGGAAATGAAGCAAGGTACTCAGTTGGTTTGTTTACAATACCTAAAGCTGAATACATGGTAAAGACACCAAAAGAGCTGGTAGATAAAGAACATCCTTTACTTTATAAGCCCTTTACTCATTTTGAATACATTACTTTTAGCTACATTGAAGAAGTCATGAAATGTGAATCTGCTTTGAAGACTTATTGTGGTGTCTGAATTTAATTTAATTGATTAGTTTACTAATACAATAAATATGTATACTCCTTGTGAGTATATACTTGTATTTATGTACTGCAGTACTGATATGGTGAATAATACTAATTAATTTGTCCACGCTTTGCATGATAGCGAAATATCGATATCAACTTTATTACTTATAGTAAATATATAAATTACATCAACATTACAAGTTTTAGTTTCGATATATTTTTACACTCCTATCATGTATTTTTGTATTTTCCTCGAATAAGTAGTTTTTTCCCAAAATAGAACTTATTTGATTTTAATTTTTTTTTTTTATATTCCAGGCTTCTAGCCGAGTAGTTGACCCTTATGCCGCTTTTTTTGTATAATGAACACAATAAAATGTTGTTCTAGATGATGATTTAATATTATTTTTTTTTATGTATCTAAGGAATTTAATTTTTGTAAGCTCTAATTTAGTTTTTAATGTTTAATGTGAGAAGCAAAATGAATAATTTAGTGTTAACTTTTAAGAATTGCCTATGAAAATACTTGCAATTACCGTTGAAAAATAGAAAAAGATAATAATTTCTTTCAGATTGATGAAATGATATTTCACTCACTTTAGTGACATTCAAATTTTACTGCGGTAAAGTCTTCCTCGGTCCAATATAATCATATTTCCGAGTTTGTTGTTTTCATACGAATGAGCTGTTTAATCCTTAGTTTATTATTGAATTGCAATGTTAGCTTGACATTTGTATGAGTCTAATCTTTTGATTAAATTTTCGATTGTAAAAGATTAGACTCATACAAATGCCACAATTCCAACCACAATCGATAAAAACTCAATTTAAATATTAATTAATATACTTCCTTAAGGACCCAATGTCACAATTCTTCAAATGGCAACAACAATATACGGCCGGATGCATTCATTAGCCTAATAGGCTGTTTAGTGATTTAAGGGAACTTAAGTAAATTTCACTAGTTTAGGAGTTAATTCTTTAGATATTCTCTAGTTTTTAATATTACATATCTTATAAGATTTTGGTGCCTTCAGATACATCCAGATACATGTATCTTGGATACATGAGGTCAAATTTAGGTATAATTTGTTCTAGATACATTATATACAAGTGGATTAATATGTATCTGAGATATATAGCAAATCTCGCTTGCCTCTCTCCCATTTTGCTTGGCACTCTCTCATCCTGGATACATGTGAATCACTCCAAATACATACAAATGCATGTATCTAGTGTGTATCTAGTAGGATATATTCACATGTATTTGGATACATACGAATCTCGCTAGCCTCATTCTCCAATATCACTCACCTCTCTTCTTATTTTTGTGTATCTGGTAACAAAAATACATGCATATTATTATTATTATTATTGTTGTTGTTTTTATTTTATTTTTATATGTGCTTGCAGTAAAATTATTCAGTCATACTCAGAGCAATTATCAGAGTTAGACCAAACAATAAAGAGGATGATTGTGGAGATTTTAGGGGTGGAAAAGTACATGGATGAGCATTTGAATTCAACAAACTACCTTCTTCGATTGATCAAGTATAAAACACCTCAAAGCAGTGAGACTGAAATTGGACTAAGTGCTCACACAGACAAGAAAATTCTTACTATACTATACCAAAATCAGGCAAATGGTCTTCAAGTTTTGATCAAAGATGGACAGTGGAAAAATATTAATCCTACACCAGGCACAATTACTATCATGATTGGAGACTCACTACATGTAAGCTATTCCAACATTAAGAACGATTTCTTTACCTCTGCTTTTATTTTCCTTATGAATAAAATAAAAACAATACTACTGACCACTCGATATATACTATTGAGAAATTAGAGATTTTATTAAATGTATTCAAGATTTAATATTTAATAATTTTAAGCTATATGTGTAGTATAATTTTCTCTGCCACATAATATAAAAAAGGACAAATTATAATATCAATTTATTTTAACCAATTATGACATCTAACATGTCTTATTTTTATGGGCGATTATGTATAACTATTTTTTCGGATGACTTGATTTTTAAAAAATCTTTTATATTGTCAATGTATAGAAGTTCAAACGTACTTATCATTTTTTTTTTAAATCTTTCAATTTGGACTATAAAGGGTTGTTTTTATACGTAGGCTTGGACAAATGGTAGGATACATTTACCATATCATAGAGTGTTGATGAGAGAAAATGAGACAAGGTACTCAGTTGCTTTGTTTTCAACACCTAAAGATGGATTTACGATAAAGGCACCAGAAGAATTGGTAGATGAAGACCACCCTTTACTCTTTAAGCCATATAATCATCTTGAGTTCCTTACTTTTAGCTACACGGAAGAAGACTTGCAATGTGAATCTGCTTTGAAGACCTATTGTGGTGTCTGAATTCAATTTACTTTCATTATGTTTATGTAACACCCTGCTATTTGAAAGAACTAGAAAGAGTTGTTTTTGGAAAGAATGAAAATCTGGACCTGCGCATTGGCAAGGTAGTAAGGCACAAGGGGGTACTAAGATTCCTACATGTGCTAAGTGTGGTAGGATCCACTCAGGGATGTATCGTTATGGCTCCACTGGATGTTTCAAGTGTGGCTAGAATGGTCATTTTATGCGAGAGTGTCCAAAGAACAAGCAAGGTAATGGTAATGGGGGAAATAAAGCCTAGTCTTCTTCAGTTTCCCCACCAGACAGGGCTGCACGTAGAGGAGCTACATCCGGTACTGGCGGAGGAACAAATAACCTTTATGCGATCACTAGTCGACAAGAGCAAGAGAACTCTCCAGATGTTGTCACTGGTATGATCAAAGTCTTTAACTTTAATGGTTATGCTTTGCTAGATCCAGGAGCGAGTTTATCCTTTGTAACTCCGTATGTTGCGATTAATTTTAATGTTCTTCCTGAGCAACTTAGTGAGCCCTTCAGTGTTTCTACACCTGTTGGTGAGTCTATTCTAGCAGAGAGAGTCTATCGTGATTTTCCCATTTTTCGTCAATCACAAGAGTACTATGGCTGCCATAGTTGAGTTAGACATGGTAGATTTTGATGTCATTCTAGGTATGGACAGACTTCATGCATTTTATGAATCAATATATTGTAGAACTCAGGTTGTCAAGTTTCAGTTTCCAAATGAGCCAGTCTTAGAGTGGAAAAGCAGTTTAGCAGTGCCTAAGAGTTATTTTATTTCGTACCTTAAGGCAAGAAAGTTAGTTTCCAAGGGGTGTGTCTATGACTTGGTTAGAGTTAATGACTCTAGTGTTGAGATACCTCATATTCAGTCAGTTTCAGTAGTAAAAGAGTTTTCAGAAGTCTTTTCAGATGATCTTCTCAGAGTCCCTCCTGAGAGAGAAATAGACTTCGGTATAGATATTATTCCTGATACTCGTCCTATCTCTATTTTGCTATATAGAATGGCACCAACAGAGTTAAAATAGTTGAAAGAGCAGTGGAAAGATCTCCTAGATAAGAGTTTTATTCGACTAAGTGTCTCACCTTGGGGCGCTCCGTTCTTGTTTCTGAGGAAGAAGGATGGTTCCCTTAGGATGTGTATAGATTACCGCCATTTGAAAAGGTTACCATCAAGAATAAGTGTCCTCTTCCAAGAATTGATGATCTTTTCGATCAGCTTCAGGGTGCTACCTGTTTCTCTAAGATAGACCTCAGATTTGGCTACCATCAGTTAAGAGTGAGGGAATGTGATATTCCAAAGACAGCTTTCAGAACCCGTTATGGTCATTATGAGTTCTTGGTTATGTCCTTTGGTTTGACCAATGCGCCTATGACATTCATGGACCTTATGAATATAGCATTCAAACCTTATTTAGATATGTTTGTTATCGTCTTCATTGATGACATACTAATCTATTTGAGAAATGAAGAAGATCATGCTAGTCATCTCAGAATAGTTCTCCAGACTCTAAAAGATAGAGAGTTATATGCCAAGTTCTCTAAGTGTGAATTTTGGCTTGAGTCTGTGGCATTCTTAGGCCACATTGTGTCTGGAGAGGGAATTAAAGTTGATACTCAGAAAATAGAGGCAGTGCAGAATTTGCCTAGACCCACGTCTCGAACTGACATTAGGAGTTTCTTGGGTTTGGCTGGCTATTATAGAAGGTTCGTAGAGGGGTTGTCATCTATTTCATCCCCTTTGACGAAGTTGACTCAGAAGACAATGAAGTTTCAATGGTCTGAAGTTTGTGAGAAAAACTTTCAGGAATTGAAAAAGAGGTTGACTACTGCCCCAGTATTGACCTTACCAGAAGGTACGCAAGACTTTGTTGTTTATTGTGATGCGTCTACAGTTGGTTTGGGTTGTGTATTAATGCAGAATGACAAAATTATAGTTTATGCCTCTAGACAATTGAAGGTTCACGAGAGAAACTACCCAACCCATGACCTCGAGTTGGTTGCCATAGTATTTACTTTGAAAATATGGTGTCATTATCTTTATGGTGTTCATGTGGATGTGTTCACCGATCACAAGAGTCTGTAGTACGTGTTTAGTCAGAAATAACTTAATCTCAGACAAAGGAGGTGGTTAGAGTTACTGAAAGATTATGACATGAGTATTCTTTATCACCTAGGTAAGGCTAATGTTGTTGCTGATGTCTTGAGTAAATTGTCTATGGGTAGTACCACCCAATTTGAGGAAGATAAGAAAGAGTTAGCAAAAGAGGTGCATAGACTTGCATGACTAGGAGTTCGACTAATGGATTCCACAGAAGGAAGAGTAGTGGTGCTGAATGGGGCTGAATCATCATTAGTGTCAGAAGTAAAAGAGAAGAAAGACCAATATACTTTATTGCTTGAATTAAAGGCAAGTGTTCATAAGCAAAAAGTGATGGCTTTCGAACAAGGGGGAGATGGTGTTTTAAGGTATCAAGGTAGATTGTGTGATTGATTTCAAGGGTAATTGGGATGATTACCTACCTCTCATTGAGTCTGTTTACAACAATAGTTACCATTCTAGCATCCAGATGGCTCCTTACGAAGCTCTTTATAGGAGAATATGCAGATCTCCTATCGGATGGTTTGAAGTAGGTGAAACTGGGTTAATAGGACCAGACTTAGTTCATCAAGTTATGGAGAAAATAAAAGTCTTCAAAAGAAGTTGAAAACGACGCTGAGTCATCAGAAATCCTACACTGATGTTAGGAGAAGAAAGTTAGAGTTCGAAGTAGATGATTTGGTTTACTTGAAAGTTTCACCCATGAAGGGTGTTATGAGATTTGGTAAGAAGGGGAAACTTAGCCCCTGGTATATTAGTCCTGACCGGATATCAAAAAGGGTTGGAAAGGTAGGTTATGAGTTAGAACTACCACAAGAGTTAGCAGCGGTTCATCCGGTAATTCACATTTCCATGTTGAAGAAGTGCATGAGAGATACTTCACTTATCATACCAACTGAAGATATTGGGATCAATGATATCTTATCTTATGAAGAGATTCCGGTTCAGATTTTAGATCGCCAAGTTCGCAAGTTGAGAACAAAAGAGGTAGCATCAGTCAAAGTTCTTTGGAGGAACCAATTTGTTGAGGAAGTTAATTGGGCAGCAGAGGAATATATGAAAAAGAGATATCCACATCTCTTCGAATCCAGAGAAATTCCAGATCAAGGTACTAATTCTCTTCTTAGTACTCTTTAATTTATAAGTTGGCATGTTGTATTTGCATTGCTTGTTGGGTGTTTGAGTTGAATGTTAGATGTTACACCCTTAGCCTAGTAAGAGTAATCTCATTCAAGGATGAATGTTCCAAGGGGGGAGATATTGTAACACCTCGCTATTTGAAAGAACTAGAAGAGCTAGAATTAGAAAGAGTTGTTTTTGGAAAGAATGAAAATCTGGAAATTTGTTAAGTTACGTTAAGTTTGAGTTTTTTGTCAACTTCAAATGACCATAACTCCTAGATCAGGATGATTTAGGTGTGCTTCCAGATACCATAGGAAAGATCGTTGAATTATCTTTCCAACGCCGCCAAGTTTGCGCGATTCTGAGTTAATATGAGTGAGATATGCCCTTTGGAAGTTGGGCTATTTGGATAAGGAAAGTCCAATCCAGATTCTAGAAGGGTATTTTGGTCTTTTCCATACTCAATTAGTTAATTACATTTTTGTTAATTATCTTTAGGTCTAAACTGATTGAATTCAGTTTACGCTTTTGGGATTTGAGTTAGGGTTTTGAGAGAAGAAAAAAGAAGAAGAAAAAAGAGGAGAAATAGCAAGAATTGTCAAGATCTTCAAGAATCGCTTGTGGATTTCATCAAGGGGTGATCCCTACGAGGTATGTGAGTTCACATAGCGTTAGGTTCGTTCACCCACGCGCCAAACATGTTTTATTCAGTGTAATTTCGTCCTAAAAAGATTGAGAATTTGATGTTCTTGAGTTGTATTCTTGAATTGCTTTCGTTCTTGAATTTGGGATGAGATTGAGGGAGTTTTTGAGAGTTTAAGATCGATTATTAGAGTTGCTTTGAGTTATATTCTTGTGCATATGCTGTGGGTATCTGAATCTAAAGAGATATGGAGAGAAAAAAAATTGAATCTAGGTGAATTGGGGCAAGAAAACGAAGAAGAAAAAGGTCGGGCAAATTTGGGTACTAGGTCCGCGACGCAGACCTGTTTCCTCAGGATTGAAAAAAATTGTCTTCGTGTCGTGGAGCGGTCACAGACTGTTTTGCCTTAAAATTTATTTCGCGACCAAGTGTTTAAATACATCTCATCGTCGCAGACAGGGGCGGACCCACGTGTTGTCCAGGGGGTTCACCCGAACCCACTCAATAAAAAATTACACTGTATATATAAGGTGAATTTTTTGGATTTATGTGGATATATATATTTTGAACCCCCTTAATGACAAGGTGAAGGAGATAGCCCAGCGGCAGCTCCCTTCAATATTAAGCCTGACGTCCAGGGATCGAATCCCTGGGTTAGCGTTATTTTTTAGTTTTTTTCTTTCAGTTTTTTTTTTTTTTTTTAAGTTCCAGTTCCGATTTTCATGTGTTTTTTAGTTTTTTTTTTTAATAAAAAGTGCTAAAATGTGGTGTTAAACCCAAAAAATTCAAGGGTCCCATACTCCCATTCCTAAAAGCTAATAACTTTTTCACTTTCCAAATCCCTAAATCACTTTCTTGTTCTTCCCAACACTCAAAACTCAAATATTAAAATCATCTCCCATAATATTCTATTGTTGATTTGACATATTTTAAAGGGCTAACTTTTTGTTTCACTGTAATCACTTATGTTAGTTTCGGATTTCTTGTAACGAAACTAACTTTTTGTACGTATAAACTATATACTACTACTTCCTTGAATTTTTTTTTTGTTGGCTTATTTACATGTTTATACTTTTATTTTTCGAACCCCCTAAACTAAAATCCTGGGTCCGCCACTGGTCGCAGACTTGCTTTCAGGCAGTGATTTGTTGATCATTTCTCATATTTATCTATCTAAAACACTCCTAAACATAATGAGATCTTTCCTATCACAAATCACAATCCTTGAATTCATAATTCAATTCAAGGAAATTTAAGAGTCAAGTTAAGAGAAGTAAAGAGTCAAGTCAAGAGAAGTTCATAGAGTCTTCCAAAAGTCTTTTACAAATGATTTAACTTTGTTTTAAGACTTTAGTTTTGAGTTCAGTAAAGAGTTAAGTTGAAGTACATTTCTTCAAAAGTATACGGGGACTATGTATTCCCAAAGAGTTTAAAATATTTTCACATTTAAACAAGTAAGGAAACTTTGATTTCCAAAGAGCCTTTGAGCTAGTTTTCAGAAAAGAGTAAATGCTTTCACAGTTAAGCAAGAAGGGAAACTTTGATTTCCAAAAAGCCTTTGAGCTAGTTTTCAGAAGAGAGTAAGTGTTTTCACAATTAAGCAAGAAGGGAAACTGAGATTTTCAAGATAGTCTTTGAGCTAAGTTTTGAGCAATTATCTCAAACCACAGAAAGAAGTTATGTTTTTAAAACATAAAGAGCTAGTATATTTTGGGGGTAGTATTAAGCACCGATATGGGGAGAGTTAAGAGAACTCCGAGCCGCCATAAACCATGTAGCCATCATGGGTAGAAAAGGGTCATACTTTTTAGATGATTCATTAGTGCTTTTTAGCATAGACTAGTGGATCCACTTAGTAGTTTGGGTTCTATACCCCCGGCAAGGTATAGGACGACCCTGGTGTCGCACCCCATTTCGAACTAGCCGAAACAGTTCACAACATAATATGGCTGACACTCTGATTTTTGGAAAAATTGTTTTGTTTGTTTTAGAGTCGCCACCTAAATTTTATGGAAAATATTAGGAAAACCATTTTTTATATAAATATGTAAATGTAAACTCTGTTTTGATTTGCGAAACCAGTGAGATTCTAAGTAAGGGTTTTGGTTACTCGAGGGGAAGGTGTTAAGCACCCCTCAGAGCCTATCCGAAGATAGTCCTTAAAACTCAATTTAGGAAAATATAATTTGGAAAACTTGTTTGTTTATTTGCTTTAAAAATCGATGATAAGTTAATTAGTTAGTTTAAAAGGAGTGTAATACAAGGTACGACATATATATATATATCTTATAAAATAGATTTAATAGTAGTATTGTAAAATAATACACAGATAAATGCACTTAAATATACGATATATTCATATGTAAAATATATATAGTTGTATCATAATAAAATTATCCTAAAATATATAGATATTGAATTTGCGAAAATATGTCGTCTTATTATGTCGTGAAAAATAAGATAGTAGTTGAATGTAAATATGTAGTAATATGTGATGTGTGATTTGAATGAAAATATATAGAATGAAGTTTTCTAAAATAAAATAAAATAAAATGTTAAAATATTATATAAAGGTTTGTGATCTTAAATATGTTTATTATAAAGTGTAGTATATACATGTAAGTTGTGTAAACATGTGAACACTTATTATTTATTTACACGTATGGACAGATTGACGATAGATTATATGTAGTAAATTAATATATATCTTTAAGTGTAGGGATTTATAAATTATAAAAATAAATAAATAATATTAGTAAAAGAGATAGTAGATATGAGAAAAAAAATAATATGAAGTGTAACAAAATAATGAGTTACGTATAGAGAAAATTAAAATTAAAGGATTTGTACCTTTTCGCATATGACATATATATGTATGTACCTTGTATTTCGAACCTGTTAGCATATCTAAAATCTTGAAATAATATATATATATATATATATATATATATATATATTTTTTTTTTATATATATATATATATATTTTTTTTTTTTTTGAAATGAGTTGATGTAAGAAATTAAAATAAAATGGGCCTAGATATTGGTTACCCACCCCAACTCATCACTCCTCCACCTATAGTCTCGAAGGGTCTAAAATTTCTTAATTATTTCAAAGATGAAGAATTAGGGCATCTAGATATTGGACAAAATAATGTTAAGGTTAACTCCTATTAAGGGTCTACTAAAACTTATATAATTCTAGGTAAGGGATCCTAATTATCCTAAGGGAGAGAGATTGAAAGCTCTTTTATTTTAAAAAGGGTTTGTTTAAAAATCGTTAACCGACCAAAATTAGATTAATTAAAAGAGGACTAAAAAGATTTAAGAAAAATCTAACATCCAGCGGAATATAAATTAGACTTAAAAAAGAGGGATTGAGAAAAGGGATCTCAAAGGTGAAACTATGTCTACTATGATTTTAGAGATTCTTTTTCATGAAAAAGCTAATGTAACAAAAAGTTTTTAGGGCTAAGGAAGCCAAATTTGGCATATGTAACACACATGCTTGACTAGAAAAAGAAGGGTGTTTTATTTTATTTGAAAAACTACATCTTCATCTCTTAAAGCTGCCTATTTAAAGTCCTCTCAAAGTGCTGCATGTTTTACTCTAAATAAATCAATATTTGTACAAAACATTTCTCATTTATACGTTCTAATACATTTGTGTTCTTGTCTTCAAGGTTGTACCTTTAATACTTAACTCGCTATACTTTAAAGCCCTTAAAACGTGATGCTTTTAAACTTAAAAAAAAAAAAAATGCACCAAAGTACATCACTTTGAACTCAAGACACCACATCATAAAGCTCTCACGACATAGCATTTTTGTTCCAAAAAATATATATATATTTTGCACTAAAAATCTGCACTGCTGGGGTTGTTTAAAGCAACAGTTTTTACCTCTAAAAAATCTGCATTTTAGCTGAAATCTCACACTTTAAAGCCTATAAGAGGGTTGTGTATTGGACCAAAAAAAAACCTGCAGTTTCACACTCAAAAACTGCACCTTTTGAGCTTAAAATTCAACACTTTTCAACCTCGAAGCGCTGCACTTTTGAGACCCAAAATAAATTTTAAGTTGCTATACTTATATCCTAAACACTTGTTTATGAAAGCAAAATCTGAAAATAAATCCACAACATTTGAAAATATTAATCCCAAACAAGAACTACTTTTAAAAAAACATGTGCTCATGATTGCAAAAATGCGTCTAAGTAACAAATAAACTTAGTTGGAAAAATTTTATTCTAAATTAAATAACTATAATAAACTAAATATCTAAAGGGGTGGAGACGAACGACTACGTCTTACTATCGCTCTCAATAGGTTTCTATAAACCCAGAAATAAAGCAAGCATAAATATAAATATAAAACATTAATGTGGAAATATGTTAGTCAAAATAGCAACACATATATGTATATATAAAACACGTGAAATTTGAAGTGGGGAGGAAGTGTAGGGCACTATTGACGCGATGAAGGTTGCTAGACACAAGCGATAATGTAGGCGAGCACAAATCTGATTTGGGCAGATAAATGGAGTCGTATCATAACTCCAAATGCGCTCCCAAGTGTACATGTGAAATAAAGAAAAGAAAATAATTAGCATAACACATGTTACCGGTTAAATTGCATGAATATAGTAAGTAATTGAGGAGGACATTCGTACTAAATTCCTAATTGAAAGAAACCAGGATGCCAATGATAAGATGGAACATAAATCACACAAGGTATACTTATAGGAATGGTTTGAGAGAATTCCAAATTTAAACCAACTTAACTAATAACTTTGGAAGAAGGAAGAATTCATGGGAAGATAAGAAGTTATCATTTGTCATTTTAAAAGGGAAGTGATAGAGAGTCTCCATAGGGAGGTGATATAAAACCAAAGAAGAGATCAAATGTTCCCAGTACTTGACCTCTCATGCCATACATTTCCGCTACATGCTCAAGCTAAATTAACACATACATACAGTCGTGTTTATTAATTTAGGCAGATCACAAAAAGATATCATTGGCTCATTTTGAAAATTGAAAACAGAGACTGAAAGAATAGAGAATCAAATTGAATCACTTAGTCAAAGAATGGATACAACTATCTTAAACATGAAGTAGAATATGAATCTAACTTAAGTTATTACACCATGACTTGATCATAATAACCGGTTAATGCTAAGCCTTCTTATATGCGAGCAAATACAAGGAGGTTTAAAGAAAGACACGGACTAAATTTTAACTATAATGGAAGATAAAAATTTAAATCTAAACTTTAAGATTTTGTTTTAATCATACTAACGATCAATGACAGATTCTACGATGAGCTGCGATGCTAAACTAAAGGAAACAAGTAACTTGAAGTCAAGGTTTTCAACAGGGAACTAATGCATAAATATGAGATTACTTTTGTGTTTAGACTTCATCATTTTTTATGAACCAAAATACGTGTAGCGACCCTAAAAATAGATAGGTGAAACTAGAGCCTAACGTATGAATTTTTAAAGTTTAAGCATAAATTGGAAGTAGTCACTTTTGGAAAAAAAAAGTTCAAAATCTGGAAATTCGGCCAAGTGTGGAAATTAGTGAGTTTTTGGCCAACTTTGAGCAGTCATAACTCCTAGCTCAGGATGATGCAAGAGTATTTCCAGTTATGTTTGGAAAGCCCTTGGAACGATCTTTCCAACGCCACCGAGTTTGCTCGATTTCGAGTTCGTATGAGTGAGTTATGCCCTTTGAAAGTTGGGCAGTTGGCAAGGAGTCCGTCCGGAAATTTAAGGGCATTTTGGTCTTTTCACAAATCTTTTCTTTTGAGGTTATATTATTGTGTTAGGCTGATTGTGGATCATTTTGTTCCATTTTTAAAAGAGTAAGGGTTAGGGTTCTTGAGTGAAGGAAGAGAAGAAGAAGGTTTCTTGCATCAATTTTCGTGGGTTTTCTCAATACTAAGGTATGGTGGCTCTTTATCTAAAGCTAGTTTTCGCTTTAGAACCAATTTCAAAGGGTTTTCAATTCTCAAAAGTTATGAAAAACTTCTATTTCTTACTCTACTCAAGGGTTCTTGCATTAAATGGTTTTAAATGATGGATTGTGATATTGTTGATGTTTATGATTTTCTATATCTATTGATTAATGTTGAGGATGGCTTTGGAGGATGGTAAGTTGATTTAATCTCATATTATTGACATAATTGTTCTTGCTTGGTTTGATCCACTTATGGTGGAGGTGTTTAATTATGGATTGTATTATGAATATGGCCTTGAAGGCATTATCTATTGAATTAAAAGTGTTATCAAGTTATGAAGTGTTATAGTACTATGTGAAGGTATTCTTATGGTTATAAGGTGATCTTGTACAAAGTGTTATTGTAGTGTGATTGAAAGTATGTTCTCTTTAAATGTCCATATGTGACGATTGTTGTTGGTAGGTTGAATCCACCAACTAGCATGGGTTCTTGCATTAAATGTTTTTAATGATAATTTATGTTATTATTGATGGTTTTAAGAAAGGAAATTCCATGAACCCATGTCTTTGCAAATTTCCAAAAGTTGGCTTATGAAGTGGGGTTATTGTTTATGATTGAATGATGATAGAATTATGCTTAAATGGAGTTGAATAGTTGATTTTTATTATTAGCTATGCTTATCTATTGTGAATTATTGGAGAGTTGAGGAATGGTGATTGTGGCTTTGGAAAAGGGTAAGTTGACCTATTTTATGAAAAATGTTGAATTAGTAGGGAATTGAGTAATGTTGGTTATGGCTTTGGAGAAATGGTAAGATGGCTTAATCTCTTAGTATTGATATAATTGTTATTGGTTGGTTTGATCCACCTTTGGTGGAGGTGGTTATTTGTCGTATTATTGTGAATTGAGGCGATGAAGGGCATTATGTGAATGTTATTATATTGTTGTATTATTATACACATATGAGGCTATATGTAAAGTTTTATGTGAAGCTATATGTGAAGGAATGGTGTGAATGAGTTTTATGTGATCTTGTGATGATCCTATGTAAAGTGGATAGCATTGTGAGTTAAAGTATGATTTCTCATGATGTATATATGAAATGATGTTGGATTATGAAGTATCCTTAAATGAAAATGTTGTGACTTGGTTGGTAGACTAAAGTGTCCCTCTTTGTTACTTAAAGTCTTGAATGCATGAATGTGTGAAGTGGGCTAGAACTAAGAAATGGTGCCCTTTCTATAAATGCTAAAAGAGGAATTCTAGGCCAAGACTTGAATCGGCAAAACTAAGAAATGGTGCCCTTTCATAAGTCTAGCTTTCCTAAGTAATTGTATAACCTTGAAGGATGGGCCTTAGGGCGATGTTCCCTTCTTGAGTGAAATGATAGACTTAGAGATGGATAGAGCCGGAACAGCATGGGAATCCTTATCTAAGAAAGTTAAATGAGCTATCCTTATGAACCTTGATTGGCCATGACTAAGAAATGGGGCCTTTCTTGGGAAGAGGTACTATGAGTTGGTTGAACTAGAAAAGGAACTTTCTCTAAGTACATATGTGATTGAATACTCTATGGGAAACAAGGCTAGCACCGAGTGGATGTGGTTAGGAAGGTGGCCTAGTTGAGTATGAGATTAGGCACAATGAACTTCCTTGGACATCCCCTAAACCATGTGCCTACATGGGTTGATTATTAGTTCTACCTTTGGCAAGTAGAACACCTTCCACGGAGTAGGGTAGACTCCGGATTCCATGCCTAGCTAGTATGGTCTATGTCGGTTATGCCTATTCCCATCATGTGGGATGTGCACTCTAGTTATTGGATAGGTTCTACAAAGTGTAGGTGGTAGTATGGGATGCTATCTACACATTGCACGAGTAGGCCTAGAAGATGCTAAAGTGAGTTCCCTAAGTCTAAATGACTATTAAGTGGAAGTCCCCTAAATGCTTAAATGTCTCTTAAAGTGGTTCATTAAAGAATTTTGATTTAGTATGTTATATTGTAATGGTACATTCCTTATCTATGGTAACCCTTAGGAACACTTAGGTGTATATAAAGAGATTGTATGGGCGGTCACTTCATGTTTCACATAAGTGTGGCTTTGGGTAACTTGAGATAGAGGTCATGAAATGATGAAAAGGCTTACTTGTCGATTATGTTCATGTATTGTACATTGGTACTAGTTGAGTATGTCTATTATGTGGGTATTGTCTTATATGTGGATGATGACGTGAAATGTGTCTCTTATAATTGTGATATGAAGGTTTTATCAAAAATGGCATGAAAGCATATATTTCAAATAAAGGTCCTTTTTAGCATGTTTTTGCATGGTCATCATACTTAGTACTTAATTGTGCTAATTCCATATTTCTCTATTTTCTACTAGTGTAGGTTCCGGAAAGTGAGCGGGTTCCATAGTAAGCTTGGAACTTGAAGTTCTTCCAAGATCTTGTGGTATGTCCTCATATGTCGAGGACAAGAGTTTTCTATTCTAGTTTATAATAAGGTTCTTGTAATAGACTTAATAGACTTCTTTTGATTGTAAAGGGCCGTGCCCCTAGTATGTTTTCATGTTTATGTCTAAGATGGCTAAGAGACTTAGTATTCCGCTTGTGTACTTTTGAATGATGTTTTAAAAGTGACCTTTGAGTCTTATGGGATTTTATTTAAAGAGTTTTTAATTCCGCACTATTTTACATATCTAATGTGATGAATGCTAAGGGCTTGTATGAGACCTCCGAGAGGTCGAATACGCATGTTACGACTTGGGGATGCTCTCGGGTCGTGACAATACGTCATTCTTGACCAATACGAAATTATGAAGGAGTCTAGAATGGATCGATGGGAGAGGAGAGGAAAAGAGTTTGATGGGAAATGGGCGATTTTTGGGAAGAGAAAGCGTATGGGGAAGGAGGAAGTTCTGGGAAAAAGAAAAGTGTTGCTGATGGGTTGTACTAGTTGGGAAAAGATGAAAACTGGGGATTTAATTTGGCCCGTCCGATCATTTGATCGGACGGTTGGTAACAATAGAGAGTTTAAAAAAAATAAAAAATAAAAAAATAAATAACATATATATATATATATAGTAAAAGGATGAATTAATTAAGGCCATTAGATTAGATTGTAAGGCTGAGATCGAATCTAAAGAAGCACAATCCATGTGCTCGCCTACGTGGCATACACGGATTGGCCGGTTTAATAAGACTTGGGTTGCCAAATTTGCTCAAATTAAATTCATTTAAATTATAACTACTTTCTTTATTAAATAGCCATAAGTGATAATTATTTTGCAAGATTA